ACTTTTAGCTTAAAACTGAGCCATATAAGAAGATGGCCGCATCCTCCAGATTCTGACATCTATTTCCATGTGAGCCGCTAACTGAAACACATGTTTTGTCAGAGCGTCCAAATAAAAATAATAAAGTCAATACTTATAACAGCATTGTTTTCAAAAACAGTATCTATATGCCTCAGCTCCATGACAACTTAATCGTAGGTAGCCATCTTTGTATTGACTGTGGCGGGTGGCATGTAGATAGGAACGATGCAGTAAAATGCTAACCAACCACCATGTTGGTCCCTGTTGGCCCCTGTTGGCCCCTATTGACTCTTGTTGGGCCCCTGTTGGTCCATGTTGGGCCCCTTTTGGCCCCTGTTGGTCCATGTTGGTCCCAGTTGGTCCATGTTGGGCCCCTGTTGTCCCCTGTTGGTCCATGTCTGTCCCTGTTGGCCCCTATTGACCCTTGTTGGGCCCCTGTTGGTCCATGTTGGGCCCCTTTTGGTCCATGTTGTCCCCTGTTGGTCCATGTTGGGCCCCTGTTGTCTCCTGTTGTCCCCTGTTGGTCCATGTTGGGCCCCTGTTGTCTCCTGTTGGTCCCTGTTGGCCCCTGTTGGTCCATGTTAAGCCCCTGTTGTCCCCTGTTGGTCCATGTTCAGCCCCTGTTGTCCCCTGTTGGTCCCTGTTGGCCCCTGTNCCCCTGTTGGTCCATGTTCAGCCCCTGTTGTCCCCTGTTGGTCCCTGTTGGCCCCTGTAGGTCCATGTTCAGCCCCCATTGTCCCCTATTGGTACATGTTGGGCCCCTGTTGTCCCCTGTTGTCCCCTGTTGGTCCCTGTTGGCCCCTGTTGGTCCATGTTCAGCCGCCATTGTCCCCTGTTGGGCCCTGTTGTCCCCTGTTGGTCCATGTTCAGCCCCTGTTGTCCCCTGTNTGTTGGCCCCTGTTGGTCCATGTTCAGCCGCCATTGTCCCCTGTTGGGCCCTGTTGTCCCCTGTTGGTCCATGTTCAGCCCCTGTTGTCCCCTGTTGGTCCATGTTGGCCCCTGTTGGTCCATTTTCAGCCCCCATTGTCCCCTGTTGGTCCATGTTGGGCCCCTGTTGTCCCCTGTTGGTCCCTGTTGGCCCCTGTTGGTCTATGTTCAGCCCCCATTGTCCCCTGTTGGGCCTTGTTGTCCCCTGTTGGTCCATGTTGGGCCCCTGTTGGTCCATGTTGGGCCCCTGTTGTCCCCTGTTGGTCCCTGTTGGGCACCTGTTGGTCCCTGTTGGTCCCCGTTTTGAACTGCCCATCGACTGTCAGCTCTGAGGTTAAACCGCTGAACTCAATCCATCCTTTAAAGTTTAAAATCAAAAGATAAAACAGAATTACATAATGCTTCCTGTTAGGGCCCAGACATGACATGTCCTGCAGCTTTAGATTAACAGGTTGTTGTTGAACTGCAATCATCAGAATCAGCTGATCTGAAGCAGGTAAACGTTTAAAACCTGCAGGATAGCTTTGGACATGCCTGCGATAGGCTGTCCATTCTGTGAAAAAACACATGAAAAGCACTAAAGGACATTTTAAGAGACATTTTTCAAAAAGCTTCTGCAGTAACAATGGGAATGAAGGGAATACATGTACTTCTTTTATTAAGTTTAATGTCATTGACAATATTTTTGTCAAGAGCCATCCTTATGTGTTCCCACTGACACAGGAAGTCTTCACCTCACCGGACTGACGTTCTTCTCAACGCACAGAGAAACTGAGGATCTTTGCCCCTTAGAGGCAAAAGATCAGCAAATCTGCCTGGTTTTAATGTTCACCTCACAAAAAGGTTGGAATCTTATTTAAAAGGTAGATATTGAGCAAGTAATTTATATTTATTACATTTGGAAAGTAATGATCCTTATTATATGTATATTATTTATCAGTTCACAGGATGTCACAGAAAAGCTTCATGTTGCTGAAAGGCTCCCAGCATCACATCAGAGCACACAGCCAGCAGTGTTTCCTGGGTTGACCTGGGTTCCTGCAGTTTGTCTTCAGTACATTTTTACAGTTCTACTGCCACCATGTGGTTCAAACATGGTACTGCACAGGTACAGTTTCTCAGTACAGAACGGTTCGTTCGCCCTAAAAGCCATCTTATCTGGAGGAAAAGAAGTGACACTGACTTATTGTCTCACAAATACCAATTAGGCAGGGATATCTTATGCTGCTGAGCTTTTTTTCTCTCCTTTTTTCCAAACATTTTTAATTAGCTAAAAAATGAAAAATCACAGAAGAATGATAGACTGTCCACATTTACAGGGCCTACCCTGCCTCTCATTAAATGATTGCCAGAGAAATAAGAGAGCATTTAGAATAAGTCTGTGGATGGAGGAAACAAAAATGAAAAAAAATAAAAGAGGAAAAAAGAGCATCTCAGAGTTGTGGCTCTGTACCCGTTGCTTTGGTTCTGAAGCAACTCTTAATATTTATGAAGCCTTTAACCGTTTTTTTTTTTTGTATCATAGCATTTATTAGCATCTAGCCATGCTGTGTGTGTGTGTGTGGGGGGGGGGGGGGCATGACTCAGGTACGGAGTTACTGTTGTTTAATAACATCTGCTTTAAAGTTATTATCAATCATAGGGGTGTGCACAGAACAGACCGTCTGATGCTGATGTTTAACGATCTTCCACAGTCCATGAGTAGCATTGCTACATTGGTTTTAATTGAATAAACAGCAATTTCAAATCCACTAATCAAAACCCCAGGAATCCAGAATATCTCTCATTTCATTGGGTATATATGAAAATGTGCAGATGAAGTAAGATTTACATTTACAATATATGAAAAAAACACATCTCTATTATCTTACTTCAAGTGCATATTACGTAATAATTTGAATTCTATTCAGTTTATTTCTATAGCGCCAATTCACAACACATGTCACCTCAAGGCACTTTAAAGTTCACCATTTTTCACATTCACATTTTCACATTGAAAACTCTCATTCCACTGAGAGACCCTCCTATTTCCTGTTCAGATTAAGAACAAATACAGTTATTTTCAGAAGATTTGATATATTTTCAGGTCATTGTTTTCAGTTCAAGATAAACACAGAAAATGCAGCTTAATCTGCATGCCCCATTTTAACCGATTAAAACTTTATTAATGTTATTTTTACGAATTGTCATAATTTGGCCTTATGTTTGCTCTAAAATGGAAAATATAACAGAGAAAATATAACCTTTGTGTTGTAGTTGTCATAATAGTCACGTAGATGTGATCAGAGAGTCCCTGAAAGGAACCATTACAGCAAAACAATAATTATATCCATGAGATGCTTTAAGTGGAATTTTTTCTAATTTAATCAAAGAGTTTAATTTTAACCGTCGCTTGGCGCCTGGTAGACGCCAGTAAAGACGTTATGCTGTTAACTAACTGGTTGATGAAGGAGGTGTTTAGTTACCTGGATGGTTAGCTGTTCCTTCACCAGGGCAACGCTCTATGGAGGCGGTTAGACCTTTGAAGTTCTACTCTTTAGACATAGTTTGACCCAAAGAGCAGTCCACCTTTCCTCACTTTTTAAATAAATATTACTAGAACTCAGAAAATACTTCAAATGCATGACCTAGGTTACTTTTATAGCTGAAGATTTTACTCAAAATTCTTGTTTAAAACGTTTTCTAATGGGATTATGATAAATATTTGACATTCAATTCTTTTCTGTTTATTTCTACAGCTCCAATTCATATCATGTCATCACAGAACTCAATGGGACATGAAATGATTCTGATTTCTGATCTCAACCGTTGCGTATATTAGCTGCGACATATGAATCAAGATGCTATGACCGAAAACATTTGATTGACAGATGACCGTTGATATATGATTGGCTGAATTTAGGTGTTCAGGCTGACGTAGAACTAACTGGCCTGCAGAAGATAACGGAAAAAACACAGATTTTAACACAGGATTTTGTTTTTTAAATAGAAATGTTGTTAATTTTGGAACAATATGGTCTGACAGAGAAAACGTTTATATACATGTTTAAGCCAGAATGATTTGACATTTATGATGTGATTTGGCTGGAGTTTACCTTCCACAGAGACACACAGAACATGGAGGATTTTATTCAGCTGTGGGTTTTAGCAACATTTTATGTTCTGTGTTATCGTGAAAGAAAATTACAATTTAACAAGACTTTTTTTTTTATCTTAATAGTGATTTTTAACTGACTGTTTTACATCAATAATTGATTCTATTGTTTGAATTGTGTAAATAAAGTGTTGTTAAAAGTCAAAAAAGTATTTTTTTTATGAAACATATTGGCTACTTTCTCTGAACATATGCTAAGGAAAACATTCTAACCCTTTATAGGGCACTCAGTGAAATACTTTGAAAATCAAAATTTCCATCCAATAGTGTTATTGGAATCCAGCATAAGACTTTATTACCTTTGGAACATTCAAACTATCTGGATATTTTGGTGGTAAATATTAATGTCAATGTAATAACAAGAAACGCCAACTTGCCCGAATATATTAAGAAAAATAACAAAAGGGCTTCTAGAAGAAATTCATGAAAAGCACTCAGAGCGAAAGAAACACATTTTGTTTTGGTCCAACCTTAGAGGCATTAATGCAGATAGTGGCACCAACAGTTTTTACTTTATAAACCTAATAATAATTGTTAACTAGGCTTATTAAATTTTTAGCTTTTCAATTAGCTTTTTTCCCTTTTTTTCTGACTTTTAACCTTTTTTCTTCACCTTTGAACTTTTTTTCCAACTTAATTTCCACTAGGTAATATATTCAAGGGCTCATCTAATTGGTCAAATGCTAAAATCAGATGTGCAACCATGTAGCAGGATCTTTGTTGAATGGCTGGATATAGATCTTGTGCTTCTAGACCTCGCTGAGGGATGGGGGGGCTCCATTTGTAAGGCCAGGGATCAGAAACGCTAACTTGGCCTATAAAGGGTGCAGTTTAACGCTATTCGGGTAAACTCGGTAAAATTCGGGGGGAAATGGGCGTGGCTAAGCCTCGTGCGTCGCAGTCGATGGCTACAATCGGATGATCCCTCGGTGGGCGGAGCCTCAGATGAGGAAATGGTGCTGTTGGCTGGCCGCCTCCCCGCCCGGTGTGACCCGGTCCTCCGCTCATCCATTCCCTCTGCCTTCAGCCCCGCTTAGAGCAGCGGTTCACAGCAGCAGCCTCCGGTCATTCTGGAAACATCCTCCAGCTGCTCAGCGCCTTCTAACGCAGCTACTCTTCTGCGGTCCGCTTGGTGGAGACATCTGGAGATTAAGGTTGGAGAGAAAGACGCGCAGGATGGAAACGCAGATCCATGTTCCTGCCGGTTCTCCGGTTATCAGGAAGATCCCGCTGTTCGTGGATGAACGCAACGTGATGGAGGGAGCGATGGAGCTGCTCAGAGAGCTCAGGCCGGCATGGCAGCCCCACAGCGTCAGAACCAAGGTAACGGCATAGCTAGCATGCTAACTGATGCTAGGCTAGGCTAAGATTGATAGCTCAGGAGCATCACCGGCGAAATACAACCATGGGGCGGCTATGGCAGGCCGGTTTGACATTTATTAGCTTCACTGGATATATATTCCACAGTCTCAAATGCATTTCTTCTTATCTAAAACATAAGTTTAGGAGATCTGAAAATCAGAATGTGTATTTAAATAAGAGTAATGCCATTCCAGATATCTGAAAGTAACGACCCAATACATATGAATGGGGAAAGGTGACGTCATTTTTCCTAGTAAGAATTACATTTCAGATAAGAGGAATACTATTAAAGATATCTGAAATACAAACAAATATGTTAAAACAGCCACTTAATATTGGTAAATATTTATAGATATGTGAAATGTAGATCTTACTAGTACACATTTGATTCCAGAGTACTTAAAATTGAATTTCTAGTGGTTGAAATGTAATTAGTGATATCTAGAATATAATTCTGACTAAAAGTATTGTAATTGGGACTAGTTAGAATGTTTTAGCGATATCTATAATAGAAATGTGACTAGGTAGAATGCTTTAGTGCTATCTATAATAGAAATGTGACTAGGTAGAATGCTTTAGTGCTATCTATAATAGAAATTGGACTAGGTACAATGCTGTAGTGCTATCTATAATAGAAATGGGACTAGATAGAATGCTTTAGTGCCATCTATAATAGAAATGGGACTAG